TGTAGGCCACCGTGCCTGGCCCACTATGACTATTAAATGTTGAATCTTCACCAGGCATCATGCTAGGTCATATGTATCTGTTCTTTCTAATCATTACAAAGATTTCTGTATAGTAGGTATTGATATGCATTTTCTTTTTTTAAACAGAAAAACAACTGAACTTCAGAAAGTTTATAGAATTTGCCCAATACCCACAGCTGGTAGGTGGAAAACCAGGTCTGACTATCTCTAAAGCCCCTGCTTTTCTCAGTATGGCCTCTTGTGGTGTTCAGTATAATCAGAGTTTTCTATACCAGGGGATTTACTCAGTGGAATTCAAATGGACCATGAAGAGGGACAGCCTGGCAAAATGGCTTTGGAGTCAAATAACTGGTTTTTAATCACAGAACCTTATTTGACCTCTCAGAGCTGCAATTTCCTGGTCTTCAAAGACAAAGAATCTAACTTTACAGGCTTGTTGTAAGAATTAAAGGTGGTAAATATTTATAGCACTTGGCACAGACTCGGTATCCAATAGTCTTTTTTGTTTGTTTCCTTCTCTTTATCTCTCAATAATTGTTTAACCTAATTTCTTGATTATTGGCCTATGTACCAGGTACTTTTCTGAATGTGGGGTTAATCAGGATAAATAAAATTATGCCATGAAGAAACAGCCTCTTAAGAGAAGTGAGATGTGAACATTTATAATGTAATCTAGAAAGCACACGGAATTTTATGTTAGCACAGAGAGTATACATATGACCAAGTGTGATGGTGGGGGGGGGTGATTTCCTAAATTAGGTAATGTCTGAGCTGAATCTTAAAGAATTAATACTCCTAAGAATGAGTCAGGGATAGGAAGATGAGAAGGGAACACTAGGCAGAAGGAAAAATGAGAGCAAACACATGAGAGTGGTAACACAGCATTTAGTGTTACTGGGTCACAGAAAAACAGGCGGACACATCACGCTGGAAAGAAAGGCAAGAGTGATATGCAGTGGGGCCTCACACCTGTCTGTAAGAGCATAAATATATTTATGTTGGAAGTGGGGAGCCATAGCAGGATTTGGTTTTAAGCACATGGATCTCTCTGCCAGATCTTATGTGTAGGGTGGATTTGAGGAAAACAAGACGAGTCAGGGAGTTAGTAGAGCAGCTGGGAGGGGATGAGGCTTGAGCAGGCACAGTTGGAGTAGGAGATGGGAGGAAAAGAGGGCCTTGATAAATTTAATAAAATAAATTTAATTTAATGGATTTAGGTGGAAGTAGAGAAAAAGAGTTAAGGATGACTGCTGGCTTACTAATGTGGGTAAACTGGAAGGATGATGGTACCACCAAATGAGAGATAATGACGAATGTGAGGGCAGTGCTTATGTGCCACCTATGTACCCTCTCAAGGGTACCTGTGGCAGAGAATGCAGTGACTGACAGCCTCAACTACAGTGCCTTTGGATCTACCATTACAAGGGATCCCTGAACTGCTATGAGCAATGTCTGATCACGATAGTAGCCCTAGAGTCAGGCCATTCCTGCCTGGTGTGGGATTCTTCATGGGCAATTTTGCTCAAAGATTTCCCATTGTTCTGGCCAGGACTCTGAGAACTGCAGTGCAGCATCAGGCTATTCCTACCCAACTCTGCCCCCGCCCTCTCCTTTCACAGGCATCAGATCCACATTTTGGTCTGAAGGGTCTCATTGGCTACTCCAGCTCTTGTCCTTCACAGGTGTTTCTTCCTTCAGATCTCTTGTACCTCTAATCTCAATGTGGCTTCTATTTCTTGGAGGATCCAAACTGATGTTAGTAGCATTTGGACATGGGTATGATGACAAACAAGGAGATCAGTTATAGAAATACTAAGTGTGGTGTGACTGAGAGACATCTGGCTGGAAATATCCTATAGATAGTTGGATAAAGAAGTTAGAAAACCAGAGATAGAGAAGAGCTTGGCATATAGATTTGGGAATTTTCAGCATACAGTGGGTAATCAAAACTGTGAATGTGGATAGAATCACTCAGGGAATGGGAATAATGTGAATATCGCAGAAATTTTATATTTGTATGCTATGGTCTGAATGTTTATGTCCCTCCAAAATTTATGTGTTGAAATCCTCACCCTCAAGCTGATGGTATTAGGAGGTGGGGCTTTTGGGAATGGGGTTAGTGGACTTATAAAGAGACACTGGAACAATCTTTGTCCCTTCCACTATGTGAGGGTACAGAAAGAAGTTGGCAGTCTCAAACCTGGAAGAGGCCTCTCACCAGAACCTGGCCATTTTGGCACCCCGCTCTTAGACTTCTAGCTTCCAGAACTGTGAGAAATAAATGTCTATTGTTTGTAAGCCACTCAGCCTATGGCAAGTTGTTATAGCAGTCCAAATGGACACATGCAAATCAAGATTCATTAGCACATATGCAAATTAGACCGGTGACATTTACTTTTCCTTCTTCACTCCCATCACCCTATCTGTGTTTCTTCTCTTGCTGGTTGGTTGTGTGGCCTTGTGCCAGTCAGCTCCTATGAACACTTAGCTCATTTAGGGCTCTTTGCTGCCAGGATTAGCACTCATTCCTGTGTTGATTGTACCTTATACCTCCTTCTGTTCCAGAAAAGTTGTCATTCTTGAGGTCACTTCTCTAGGGCCCAAGTTTTCTAGGCCATTTGTGACTCAATGCATTTACTCTCTCAGCCATTTGAAGGCTCAATTCATTGCCCCAGAGAAGTGGGCGTGTACTATGAATCCTCTGATTTTGTTCCTCACTTCTTGGTATGATTCTGTAGATTTTCGGAATTTCTAGCTTTGTTTTCACCTGATATGGCAAGGATTTCCATTTGTTCACTTATGGTTATTATTCTAGCTTTATGATCAGCCTTGGTTCCTGGTAGGCCCGGACCCTCTATCTTCAGGACACTAGTCTGAAGTTTGATAACGAGCTCTTGTGTCACAGGACAGTTTGATATTCTGAGTACTTTTCTAAGAAGAAGCCATCTTACATGGGGAACGTGATATTTCTCTTTCTCTCTCTCTCTCTCTGTATATATATATATGTGTGTGTGTGTGTGTGTGTATGTGTGTGTGTGTGTATAGATGTGTATATAGATGTATATATGTGTGTATATACATGTTTTCCTCCACAATTCTTGGTTCGTAATTCCTATAGTCCTGTTATTTCCCAGGTGACTAAAGCAATACACATATCTGTTGTTAAGATGTTTGGCTTTTTGTCCTTTAGTTCCTGAAATAGCTTCAGAACAATTTCAGAGCCATGAAAGTGAAGACAGTCTTGTTATGATGATGGAATTGTTAGGCCTCTGAAGCAGACCTCAGGAAACTGAGTCACTCACTCTGAACTCCTGCCCTTCTTTCACCTGTTCCATTTTCTCCTCAAGCCAGACCATAGAAACTAAAAATATACCCTAATCTTCTCGTTACCTTTCTGTCTTGGAGCTGGACATAAATAAATTGTCTTACCTACCTTGTCTAATTGTAAGTCATAAGACTCATTTCAGAAGGGGTCCTGCAGTATACCTGGAGTAAGACATGCTGCACAGAAAGGCCAAGAAGAATCTGAACAGACAGGCCTTGCTGGGTTTCCCCACTCAGTCTACTGGTATTAGATTATATCCTTTTTGTTGAATCACGTTTTTACATCATTGTTCATGCTTCAATCCTGCCTATCCAATGAAATATCTAAAAAAGGCCCAAGGGGGCACAGTACAGAGAGATTCTGGGCAGCTGAACTCATGCAGGCTTACAGGAAAATGAATAGCTCATCCACATGCTGGAAGGGTGGTGCACCCTAACTCCATTGGAACAGAAGCTTCTACACTTGGGACACTTTCACGACCTCACCCTATGTGTCTCTTCATCTGGTTATTTATGTGTATGCTTTAAAATATTTATAATAAACAAATTTGCCAAAATTACACAAGTGTTTCCTTTAGTTTTGTGAGCCACTAGCAAAGCGAACCCGAAAAGAGAGTCCTGGGAACCACAACTTGAAGCAGGTCAGTCAGAAATATTGGAGGCCCAGACTTGTGACTGGTATCTAATGTGAGGAAGGTCTTGGGAGACTGAGCCCTCAGTCTATGGAATCTCATGTTATCTCTGGTTAGGTAGTATCAGAATTAAATAGGATTAGAAGATACCCATCTGGTGTCTGCTGCAGAATTGATTGCTGGCTTGTTGGTGGAGAGAAATTCCCACACATTTGGTCACAGAAATCTTCTGTGTTGATTGTTATGGTGTGAGAGCAGAGGAAGAAAAGTTTGATTTTTCTACAATGGGAGACTGTTATAGTTCTTTCAGCCAGGTAACAGTGCTTTGTGACTCTCCATATGTTCATATGGCTTTTGGCTTTAGCATTCCAAAAGGTCTTGTATTGCCCAAGTGACAGTAAATCCTATGTGAAGTGAATCCTATTGTCTTACTTGTAGCATTATGGGCATTCTGCAAGACACATGTCTGGATCAGCTTGTCTTTTGCCTTGGCCTTATGTTCTTAGCATGTTGTATAGCATAACTGAAGTGTGGATAAGGATGTCCTTGTAGGGGAGTGGGGTAGAAACATATAGTATCATTATGTATGAATTTGGGCAACTTGCTTTTAAAATGATTTCTGGCAGATATTAAAGCAAAATCAGCAGGAGGCCGTTAGTCTGAGTTCCTGTATAACAAACCACAACCTAAGTTAGTATGTAAACAATTGAAACCTAATTTAGCAGCATATTTAGTAATTAACAGCTGAGTTTCAGCCAATCACAAACAGCCATGCTTTAGCCAATCTGATCAGCTCATTCTCAAATAAGGCAGATGCCTAGCTGTGGCCTATTAAATAATTTCTCTACTTTGCTTCCATGTGCAGCCTATACCAACTTGTTGCTCATTCTGCTCGGTGGAACTCTCTGAACCTCTTCTTGTTCTGATTGCTACCTGACTCATGAATCATTCTTTGCCCAAATAAACTGTCAAATTTATATATATATGTCTCTATCATCAAATTTCATATATTCTGTCAAATATATATAAATTTGACAGAAGGAATATGCATGTGAATTCTAGAAATTTATTTCTTGCCATTTTTTATATTAGGTTAAGTGATTTAATTTGAATACATTCAGTTTGTACACATCTGGCATCAGTCTGAATTTTGTTTACATATATCTGCTGTTATTTTAGGTCATAAACTCTGTCGCACACATGTCTTATGTGAAAGTCACACATGTACAATCCTCTCAAATGCAGTGCATCCAAACTTGTAAAATTTTGCGAACTCCTCTATATAATCAATTTCATGAAACATTGATAGATTCTTTGTTTCTCATGACTTCTGGCAATATTTGAAATACAAGGTAAGCATTCATTTCACAATGTTATATTGAGAAGACTAGTTAATACGGAAGACTATACCACATCTATGCTAAGTATCAAGTGGGAATCTAATGAAGGATTTGAGCAAAAGTTTACCCTGTTACCTTACAGTGAGTTGGATGAGTTGGAGGAAGTAAAATACATAGAATTGTTGAGGTGGGAATCAGCTGAAATAATGAAGAGACTGAAGCTTTCAGCAATGTGATATTAAGGCAATTTGAAAACAAGTCACAGGAAAACAATTGGCATTTCGCAATCAGAAATGGTGGAACCCAGGAAGCCTCAGGCACAATATGGTTTCACAGATAATATATTTTGTGCATACTGGCAAAAACACAGGGCTCTAGATTTTAATATATCTATCTACATAAGTAATGGTCATAATAGATAGTATTATTTTTTTGAAGCTGACAAATAGTAATTCTAAACATCTCTAGGCTAAAATTTACTACCATCAAAGTTTGGAAATTTTGATCTATGCTGATAGTTATGTTTTAATCATAATTGTTTATTTAACTAATAGCTACAGATCTTAGGTCTGTCTGTTAGTATATGAGAACATTGTCAACATGAGAAATTGCTTTTGTATTTACTTCCCATTTGACTGCTTCCCTCCCCTTTTCTGCTTTCTCTTAATTGCTAGGTTCTTAAATACTGCACTGATGGAATAATATTAATCAATGGAAATAAACAGAACTTCAGGTTAAGAAAAGAAATGTTAGCATATGTATAATCTAAATTTGCTTGCTTTTTGATGGTCATTAGTCAGATAATTGACCTTACATTATATACTCTAAGTATATAATTATTTTAAAATTATCTAAATGTTCACCCATTTTTAGAATCTTCTTTGTGAGAATGAGGCTCCATGATTCATAATTAGATCACCTTCTTTCAACTTGGATTAGTTAATCTTCTCTTCATACCAAATCACTTTTCAGTAAATTAAACTAATGGAAAATAACCTAGAGAACTGGAAAGAATGTGAATTTAGGCATGAGAGGTAAAAGTATGAAACACACATCTGTTCCTCCTGGTCTTTTAAAATATTTTCTGTAGTATTTGGCATGAGAAACTGTTGAAGCTATGTAAACCCACTGAGAGAATATGGAAAGTGGGCTGACATTTAAGTTCTGTGAAATCTAGCCATGACCTTGGGCTTACACACATTTGTTTACACATACACACACACACACACACACACACACACACACACACAGAGAAAATATTCTGTGCTAAGGGTGTGTAGGTATCTCCCTTGCAACCTGAGAGAATCTATGATGTTAGGAATGGAGGGTCTTTTGCAGATATGTGGATGTAGTCATTTAAAAACATATTTGCAGTAGAATTTTTTGTACTTCGTTTTCATCTCTATCCCAGGGAAAATAAAGGCATTTTTGTTTGAAATTGTATCTGCTGTAGGCCCAGTTCTAGAAATGTAAACTGAAGACAAGTCCTTTGGATATTGATAATGCAGCTATAATTTCTGACAGGTAATATAGTGGTTTAGCTTATTTGACACATGCTGTGCTGAAGTAATGTTGTTGAAGAAGCTTTATTCTTGTATCTTATGCCTGTAAGCTGGGTACTTTTCACTTAATGGGGAACATATCTTGTTAAGTTGTACAGCCAGGTGTCACTTGTCTTCTTCACGGACAATTAGAATACAGAATAAATCTAGATACTACTATTTTCTATTGATACAAACTCATTGAAAATGATCTAGAAAAGAGATTCTTATCAACTCTCTCTAAAATTATTATGAAACATCGTGGTATGTAAATATACATGTGTTTTAAAAGAGAGGACCCATAGCCTTTCTCTGATATTTAAATGGCGTTTGTGACTATCCCAGATGTTTAGAATCATTGCTATAGAATACAAGAAATATTAAGAGCAAGGATTAAAACAATAAAGTGTAGTGAAATTTGCCTATTTCTTTCATGAATAATATTAATCATAAATTTCAAGGTTTAATCTGAATTTTATTTTAATCTAAATATCTGTGTAACATTTAACTGCATGTTATAATTTTATGACATAAAGTTCCAATATCAACAATGATATTCAAAGGTTGCTGTGTAAGGTATATTAACTTTACACATTCAAGTTGAATAAATAGCATTATTTCACTGAAATTCTCTGGGGAAAAAAATCAGCCACAGATAATTACTGAATCGAACACTATCTTATTCCTAAAACATGAACATAAATTATTTCGTCAGAATCATCCTAAAAACTTCTGAAGTTTTATATGTGAATAAATATTGACTTAGTTTTTAATTATCTAAAACTATATAGGCTTTTTTGGTAGCAGTTTCTGGAATATTGTCTTAATGTAACATGATGGCTAAAGTTGAGTCTTTGGAATCACTTAATCTATTTTTTAAATCTCAGATTCAGACTTATTGACAGTGTAACACTTAGCCAAATAATGTATATTTGCTTTCCACAGCAAATGAGAACATGCACAAAAAAAGCTTTGCCTGGTGTCTAGTAAATGTAAATGTTTTGTAAATAGTAGCAGTACTAGAAGTATTCCTTCTTAGGAAGAGCACAAAGTGACTTAATGTATACAATAAGATATTAGTGAGGGATATTAGGAAGGAGTTCTGGGGAGGTTGAGTCACCTAAGAATATAATTCAGGCTTTAATCTATTGCATTAGCAGACACTGCCCCAAGAATCACTCCTAGTTTAGAGATTATTATATAAAAATAGGTCTCTATGTTTGAGATAAGACTATGAAATATAGCTAGTGTACAAACCCTGAACTAACATAATTATAATCCAAAAAAGCACAAATTTTGTGAGATAATGCAAAGTTGTCAGTGCTAGGCCACCACTGTTGTATTGATTGTATAGTGTGTGAAATGATTTTCTATAGTATTTTGTACATGAGGAAATTTTAGCTATAATGTCTCTCTGCAGGTACACCAGGGAGCAGTCGTTACATTTATGTGCTATATTATTTTTATGTTTGGTTGTGAGTGTTGAAAAAACCTTATTTTAAATGTAATTACAATTTGATAATACCTTAAAAAGTGGTATCTTTTTCTTACTCTTGTTTTCCCCATTTCCATATATCCAATCATAGAGAAGCCTCTCTTGAGTGTTTTGGACCCATCTAGTTTCCTTTCCAGAGAGTTAATATTAATTTGAGCTAATGTTCATTTAGTGCTTTCTATGGGTAGGCCCTAAGAGCTCTATCATTATTATTTTGCTTAATCCACACAAGCTGGAAAAGTAAGAACTACCATTATCTCTATGTCATAGATGAAGAAATTGGATCTTGGGGTAATTATTCTGCTTAAGCTGGCACGGACAGTGAGTGGTAAAGCCACAGTTCAAACCTCTCTGTGCTCCCAGAGACCATATGCTACTACATGATATTAGCCTGCATCTCAGAAGGAAAAGCAGGACAAATCATTGAATATAGAACTTGTTATCAATAAAAATTACTTGCACCTGTGTGCCCTGGAGCCACTTCTAAGATTTAGCCAAAAGTAAAAGACTACTGTCTGACGCCCATGTTCATAATATGCCATGTACTTTCTTTCCAGACTCTTGAATGTATATCACATCAGTTTTTCCCCAAACACAGAAGAAATAGAATTCTTTCATTTATTTCACCTTGATTGCTTGTCTGTAGAACCAAGGCACTGTTTTAAGCACTTGAGATTTGTTTATCCCTGAACAAAATACAAAACAAAGAAACAAAACAGATTCTGCCTTTTTGGAGTGGTTTTGTGGGTTTCAATGTACAGGAAATTGACAGCACCTAAGAAAAAGGGAGAACTGCTAACAAACAACTGGGGTAGATTTTAATCAGCATTCATTTCTTAAATGTTAGGATTGCTGAAGACGAATATGCCTGAATTAGAATTTTTTTCTTTTTGTTTTTATAGATTCAACTATCATCATTCTTTCTCATCTTTGTTTCCCTACCTGTTAAATAGGGCTACCAAAAGAGAAAATTTTGCATTCCTCTGTCTATATTTGGACATGTTATAAATATATTTGGCGGTGGAAATGAGAGCGATTGATAATCAATACTGTTGGTTCAAAGACATCAAGTAAAGCTTCCATCCATCTGGTCACTGCTGTTTGTTCAGGCATGGATGCCACAAGATACTGAAACCTAATAAGAAGGGAAACTAAGGATCTTTTGATCCAGGATGACATGGGGGAAGGGAAGATTGCTATTACTGTTTTTAACAGATCTCTTGATAATGTTTCTGCTATTTGTCATAGTATTTAAATTTTGTGGTGTTGAGATTGTAGAACTAATACATGAAGAGGATTGTGAAACCTTATAATGGGAGAACTTCTTCCCCCAATATAGTCAAGATGTACACCTTCTATAGGTGATTGGAATCCTCCATGACCATATATAGGAATGTACAAGCACTTACTAATACAATGGTTTTGTCTTTTCTGTGTTCTCTAGAATTTCCAAAGGTTTCTTCCTTAAAGGGAGTCTTGCTACAATGATATATTGAAGGGCAATAATCTTCATGAGCATTGGAAAGAGAAAAATAACAAGCTTGAATAACAATATTTTTTCAATATTTTTTTTCTTAGAGCTCCAATCTGGTGTGACTCCTGATTATACACCTAAACCTTTGAAGAACTTCCTATGTGTTTATAAAATGATTCATTCTACCTTGTTGAGCTCTTAAATGACTATGCACAAAACACAGTGAGAGCCCATGACTGTGTTCAGTATTATTAGGAACATGGAACAATGAGTCATTTTTCCACCTCTGTTTAATGAAACCTCTTTGTTCTGATGAGACTGGGTGATCCAGGGTTTTAAATTCAAAGCATATTAACTAGAAAATATAGAAGCTAAGAAAAAAAAAAAAGCAGGAAAGCAATCTCCTGAGGCACTGGAAAAAGCTAAGGGTCTTAAGGTGGAAAATTATAGAGTTTTGTAATAAATAAGATAAGTAATATAAGCCCATGGGTTTATGTTCCAT